GAAATGGTCTCGGGGCTCCGACGAGCCTCCTCCAAAATCCCGCCTGGCGGCTCTGGGCCAAACAACCACCCGCCACCCGCCTACCCCGGAAAACATCCCTCCGTGTACCGCGACGGCGTCTTCAAGAAGGGGCAGTACAAACACCGTCCCTGAACGAAGGAACCTGCCCCCTGCTCCAAAAAGGCCTGCCCGCCTCCCCTATACCCCGGCGGCAAGCAGGACACCGCAAAGAGGCCTCCCGCGCGCCCTCTCGGATCATCATCCGTCGGCCAAGGCGGCAACAACACGCGGCTTTCTTTGGCCTCCCGCGCCCGCCGCCGCCGACCGCCTCCTTCAACCCGCGCAACGGCACCGTCGTCGACCGCGCCGTCACCGACGCCCGCAACTGGGACTTCTTCCTGCAGGCCCACACCCCGCTGCACGGCACCGCCCGCCCGGGCCACTACTACCCCGTCTACGACGAGATCTTCCGCTCCAGCGTCGTCAAGCCATCCCTGGCCAGACTGACGGGTGGCATCGGGGCGAACGTGGCGGATGCGGTCGAGGCGCTGACTCATAATATGTGCTATCTGTTCGGGCGTGCGACGAAGTCGGTGAGCGTGTGTCGCCGGCGTATTATGCGGATCTGGTCTGTACGAGGGCTAGGTGTTATTTGAGTAGGTTGTTTGAGGCGGGGTCGGCGGCGGGGTCTGTAGCGGCAGGGTCTGTGGCGGTGGGTGGTCGATAAAGATAAAGTTTGGAGGTGGGGTTGGCGAAGTTGTCTACGGTTACGCCGCAGGGGGGGGAGGGGGATGGAGGGAATGATCAGCAGGAGGCTAGGGTAAGTGAGGTGAGGATCCATGAGTTGGTGAGGGATTCGATGTTTTACATTTAGGAGGGTGGTTTGGGATGGGTGAAGCTAGGAGGAATTATTTTGTTTTGTTTTCTTGGATGCATGTGTATTTTCTTCTAGGTATAACTAGATGACTTGTTGTGTTACACGGTGAATCTCTAACGTTCTACTTTTGTCAGTATTACCTGCATTCTATAGGGAGAAATTACACTTTATCACGAATATATCTGTCTGTGGGAAAAGTAAGATGCGAGAAGTGTTTTGAGGAGGTACATTGTACATGTACATACAATTGAAGTGACTGGTGGTTTTGGAGCGAGTTAATTCAAGCTAAATAATCATACAACAGAACCGGAAATTTTCAAGAAAGGGAAAGATGGAAAGAGGAAGTCTTGAGAACAAACGGGCAAGAAGGAAGGGAACAAGCGGATAAACTAAACATTATAAAAAACAGGGAGCGGGACAGAAGTAAGAGATGCATGTAAATTCAAAAGGGTTCGAGGATAGGGTGACAGTTGGTTGGCGGTAATAAAAGGTGTTTTATGGTAAACGCACAAGACAGATGCTTAATAGATTAAAATAAAAACGGAGATGGACGATCTTCTCCAATTCCTTTTGTTTTTTATATCCCCCTTTCTTTTTCCTTTGCTCTTCTTTTTGGTCCCATGCTGTTGTAATTCAAGGAGTAGTCCAGAAAAATGATTAACAGAGATGGAGAAAATCAGCGAAAAATAAAAATACAAGATTTGACTTGCTATAGGATAGAAGCGCTCATAACGGAGGGTATACAGGATAATTCAACTACTTTTCTTCCTCAATTCCTCTTTATACCCGCAGCAACTTAGCAGCATGCGTGACAATTGTATCGTCCTGCGGGAAACTCATCTGCTCCAGCTTGAACGCGTACGGTGTTGGCACTTCGGCACCGGTAACCCGGACAGCGGGCGCCTGGAGATAATCGAACGCATACTCCATCGACAGCGCAAGGATTTCAGAACCAACGCCGAACATGGGGAAGCCGGATTCGACTGCCATCAGGTGGCCGGTCTTCTTCACGGACTTGATGATGGTGTCGATGTCGAGGGGCTTGATGGAACGCAGGTTGATCACTTCAGCCTCGACGCCGTATTTCTGTTTCAGTTCTGCGGAGGCGCGCATGGCTTGGCCGACGCAACGGGAGAGGGAGACAATGGTCAGGTCTTTGCCGACGCGCTCAATCTTGGCTTTGCCGATGGGGAGGACGAAGTCGTCTTTTTGCGCGGCTTCGCTCATGGGGAAGGACTCGCCGTACATGAGTCTGAGGGAGTGAGGTTGATTAGTTTAAATGTTGGTCCTTTATATGTACAATTTCCTCGTGCATATTGCACACGAGGCAGGTTATCTCTGGGTATACTCACTCGTTTTCGAGGAATACAACCGGGTTAGGGTCGCGGATTGCAGCCTTGAGGAGTCCCTTTGCATCTTCGGCACTCCATGGGGTGAGCACCTTGAGGCCGGGGATCGATCCGTACCAGGCGGAATAATCCTGGGAGTGTTGGGCAGCGACACCAGCGGCAAAGCCGTTGGGTCCTCTGAAAGTGATATTACATGGCTGAATGCCGCCGGACATATAATGTGTTTTGGCTGCGGAGTTTACGATCTGGTCGATTGCCTGCATGGCGAAGTTGAAGGTCATGAATTCGCACTAGATCAATCACACCAAGCATCAGCATACGTTTTTCCCACTCATACATAGATATTCAGGTTCTGGGGCACTCACCACAGGGTGTAGTTCAGCTAGGGCAGCTCCGACGGCCAAGCCGCAGAATCCTGCTTCTGTGATGGGGGTATCGATGACTCTTCTGGGTCCGAATCGGTCCAGCAGGCCCTTCGTTACCTTGTATCTGAATTGGGAAAGAAGTTAGCATTGCTGTAATATCATACATTCATATATATATATATATATATATATGGGGAAGGAAAAGAGAGAATAGCTACTCACGCTCCGTTATACTGCGCAACCTCCTCACCCAGGATAAACACCTTGTCATTGAGGGTGAGCTCCTCTGCAAGGGCATCATTGAGAGCTTCTCTGACTGTAATCTCTTTGGTTCCGCTTGGGGTAGCATATGTGCGTCGTTGGAAAACTGGAGGAGGGCATACTGCTGGTCTAAAGGCAGCTCGGAGGGGAGCGGAGCAGAAGCGTGTGGATACCAAGCGTGAAGCTGGTCTGAGTAGTCTTGGGGCAGCCATTGGGGGCAGTGGAAGATAAAATAAAAAGCAGTTAAACCCAGCTAGCTACCTGCAAGTCAGAGAGACCAAAACCACGAGAGAGAGCAAGAGAATTGAGAATTGAAGCGCAAGAGAGAACGCCTCTTCCAAGACCGCGGTGAGAAACAAAGCGAATGAGAAGTTGCATATTTCCGGATTTGGGTGGGCTTGGCGCTGCGACTTGTTGGGCTGACTCAGCAGACTCAGGAAAAGTCACATGAGCTGCTCAACAAAATCGATCGGGTTGCCGGTTTGGGTAGAGACACTATCCGGATTAGGCAATAAAACGGGCAGCCGCCCCACAGCAGATCCAGCAATCAGAAGCGGAGATCTGGATCCACTGCTGGCGATTAGTCATCTTAAGTTCCCTGTTCCGGCTAACGGCCGACCCAAAACAGTTCCATTCGTGGGGGTGACATCAGCCGCAACAACCCTAACTACCAGATCTTGTCTATAATATTATTCTGTACGGAGTACTCCGTATATCAGATATCAGATCTCTATCTCACCACATCGAGTACATATACGGAGTACAGACAGCAAAGCTCGTTTATTGTATCTAATATATAGTTAGAAATATTCAGTTATGTCATTATAGTCTTAGCTACTTACACGAGCAGTCATGCACTCGCTATTCTTGGCCCTGCTGGGGCTCTCCGGCTCCGCCCTGTCGGCGCAACCCGCCGCTCCCAACCCCATTCCGGCCCCGATGAGGAATCTCACCTTTGGTCAGCTTAATTTCCTCCATACAACTGATACACATGGCTGGCTTGCTGGTCATCTTCGAGAGTAGGACGAGTAGTACCCCTTGCTACCCAACGAGGATACACGTTGGCTGATTGTTGACCTTCAAAAAACAGAGCTTCATACGCCGCCGACTGGGGAGACTACATCTCATTCGCCAATCATATACGTGAAAAAGTCGAAGCCGAGGGACATGATTTACTGCTCATAGACACCGGCGACAGGATAGAAGGAAACGGTCTCTACGACAGCTCGGAGCCAAAGGGACTCTATACCGCGGACATCTTCAAGCAACAACGTATCGACGTCATCTGCTCCGGCAACCATGAGCTGTATCAAAAGAACTCATCCGTAGATGAGTACCTAATCACAGTCCCCAATTTTAAAGGCAACTATCTCGCCTCTAATATCGATATCACGAATCCCCACTCGGGAGAGCGCGTCCCCCTCGCCCCGCGTTTCAAGAAGTTCACCACAGAAAAGCAGGGCATACGCATCGTAGCGTTTGGCTTCTTATTCGATTTCAAACAAAACTATAATAATACCGTCGTACAACTCGTGGAAGACACCGTCAAGGAACAATGGTTCCAAGACGCCATTCGCGACAAAGAGGTCGACCTCTTCCTCGTCATTGGACATGTTCCTGCCGAATCGAAGGAATTCTTAGCCATCTACAAAGCGATCCGTGGCATGCATTGGGACACCCCGATCCAGTTCTTCGGAGGCCATCACCATATCCGAGACTATATCAAGTACGACGAGAAGGCATATGGAATGGCCAGTGGCCGGTTCATGGAAACAATCGGCTTCGCTTCCATCAGCGGCTTATCCACAGGAAACAAGAAGTCACCGTCCGCCGCAGCCACCCCATCCTTCACCCGCAAATACATTGATAATAACCTCTGGTCCTTCTACCACCATACCGGCCTCAACGAAACCACCTTCCTACAGAACATGGCAAGAAAGTTTCAAAATGATCGAAGAGGCTCGCCACGCCCTAAACCTCGACCACATCTACGGCTGCTCGCCCAACGACCTGTGGATGTCGCGCGTGCCATACCCGCACAACGAAAGTATATATTCCTGGCTAGAGACGCAGGTTTTGCCGGACAGCTTTCGTCCCAGCACTACGCGCTAACAAGACCGGTATGGCAATTGTAAACACCGGTGGGGTCCGCTTCGATATCTTCAAGGGCCCCTTCACGCAAGATTCGGCCTACATCCTATCGCCCTTCATATCCGGCTTCCGCTACGCCAAGGACGTGCCGTATAGCAAAGCGAAGCAGGTCCTGGAGGTCCTAAATCGGCAGATGAAAATCCTCGCAGCCATGCCGCAGTCGACCGTGTCGGCATCCTCGTTCCTCTCCCCGCCCGAGCAGCAGAGGATAGCTCATGATGTCATCGTTAACGACGACGGGAACGGCCGGCACCACGCAGGAAAAATCCAGCTATCTGCGCCAGGTCAAATCCCACTCTCCTCGCCTAGAAACGACGATGACAATGATGACGATGATGACAACAAGAAACCAATCCTCACCGACATCCCGGGCTACACCACCAAAGACGACGCCGGCGACGACGGCGACGACACAATCCACTCCCCCATAAACTTCTACCGCATGCCGAACTGCTTCTCAGCTCTTATCCCCCCCTCCGCATCCTCATCCCCGTCCTCATCCCCATCCTGGTCCACATCCACAGACGTAAAAGCCCACACGGCAGACCCAGAAACCGTCGACCTCGTCTACGTCGACTTCATTGAGCCATGGATGGATCTGGCGTTTCAGTACGTGGGCCATGCCATTGATATTCGGAGGGATACAGAGGTTATTTTGGCGGGGGAGACGTTGACGACTATTATTGTTCGGTGGGTGGAGGAGAATTGGAAGTGTAAGTAAGGAGGGGGAGGCGTAGGGTTGGTAAGTAGGAAGAAATGAAGATATCTTTTAATGTTTTGGGCTCTTTTTTTGGTTGGGGGTTTCGGGGTTGCCCAGCGTTTTTTAGTTAGTATTCATGGTTATGTTTCGTTTTGGGAAAGATAGAGATATATATATACATGTTCATGTTGGATTTATGGCATCTTGGGTACGATTGATATAGTTCGGCCGTTTTGGGATTCTTTAGCCCCATAATATAGTTTGGTTTACAGATACAGAACTTTATGATTGCAAAGAGCGGGTTCTATTAGAGAGAGAATGGATAGGCGTGTGTCCATGGCTGCACTTTCTTTCCACACTGGTTTCTGTTCCTCTATTTGGCCTTCATTCCGGACTATAGAAGATAGCTAGCTAGTAACAGACTCGTGCATTTTGTTCATGTATTTATTATATACAATCCACATAAAATTTTACAAAAGTATAGAAACAAACACCAAGGTGTAAAGAACAGCCTTCCTCCCACTTAATCCCCCTCATACACAAACACGCCCTTCCCGCTCCTCCTCCCACTCAACGTCCCCTGTACCTCCGCCGCCAACTCCGCCGCCTCCGTCTCCCACCCCCACTTCACCTCCTGGACAGGAATATCCTTAAACCTCCCCGCCCTCGTCAGCCTCAGAATATCATTAACCGTCTCCGTCTTCAGCGCCGGATTCTTATCGCTCCACTTGGACACCCAAAACCCATTGAGGGCCAGGTTCTTGAAAATCAACAGACCCGACGGCAGCGTCAGCGGCTGCTTCGCCATGGCCCCGTACGTAACCATGCACGACTCAGGCGCCAGCACCTTCAGCATCGCCGTCGCGCTGGGCCCGCCCACGCAATTCAGCGCGAGCCGGATCGGCTCCTTACCCTGCCGTGTGGCCTCGTGCACGATCTCGCGGAACGTCTTGGACGAGAGGAGCTGGGCCTCTGTGACGACGGCCGTGGCGCCGAGGGCGAGCAGGTCGTTTTTCAGCGCCTCCGTCTCGGCGGGGGTGTCGCGCTCGCGGATGACGTTGAGGGTCTTGATGCCCCATTCGCGCGCGAGCTGGATGACGGCGCGCCCGACGCCGGAGTTGGCGCCGTTCTGGATCGCCCATTCCTCGCCGGGCCTGCTGATCCAGTCCCACGCGCAGAAGTCGCGCAGCATCCGGTAGGCGGTGACGGGGTTGACGCCGACAGTGCCGACTTGGATCGGGGTCAGGTTGGAGCGGTCTTCGATCTTGATGAGGGATGCCTCGTCGAATTGGGCGTGCGTGCGCCAGGTGCCCATGCCTGTTCGCTTCATGATTACCCAGTCGCCCTTTGTAAGGGATTTGACGCCGGACCCTGTCGAGATGACTTCGAAGGCGGCTTCGTTGCCGCCGACGGCGGACGGGGTGCTGGTGCCGAGTGTGGTGGTGAAGGTGGGTTTTGAAGGGTAGACGCCTTGGATTTGGTTGATGTCGGCTGGGTTGAGGGGTGCGGCGAGGAGGCGGACATTGACCTGGGAGTGGTGTGGGGGGGAAATGGAGTGGGCGTGTAGGCTGTTGGGTTGGGGGAAGCCGTTAGCAGCTGGGTTCGGGCATAAGACATTCTGGAAAGGGAGATAGATAGATAGCCAACCTTAGGACATCCTTGGGTTCGCCATAGTTGCCGTAGACCAGGGCTTTGGCCTGGGTGTAGCCGTAGGCGGAGATATACCGTCGGCGGTCGAGCGGGAGTCTGAACGAGGTATTGGAGGCGGAAACAGCGCGGAGAGGCCTCAGTTGGCTTGCCGTGCGCAGAGTGACTCTAGCAGAAAACATGGTTACAGCTTTCTGGTAAGTTCAAAGCATTGAGCTGCACACAGGACGGGTTGTGTTGATGGTGTGAGGTGGGTGTTGGTGTTGGAGCAGAAATAGTGAGGAAGTTCAACAATTCAAAGCTGGGCAAGAATGACGTCGGAAATTTATATATTTCTCTAGAAGCTCAAACACGCAATCTACATCTACAAGCTTTGAAATTAAGAATCTCATCCACAGCATCTGCTCATCATACAGTAGCTCAGGGCATTTTTCAATATCAACGCCCGCAGTCAACATAGTTAAATCTCCGATAGAAAAAATATCGAGTTTTCAACCTCTCTGCATCGTAGAGTATGTTTGCATGCCAGATCCCACTGTGGATTGTGTAGTTGGCCAGGTAAGAGATATGGAAGAAGATGAGGGGGAAAAATACAAGGAAATAAAAGAAAATGGGAAGCACACAATCGCCAGTTCACAAGAAACTTGTACACGTATGATAAGTTTTGAAAACTTGTTAACCAGCGTAGGAGATGATATTGGGTATTGTATCTCAGACTGCTGCGTGTGGTGGTATATACATCGTTCTTAACGTAAATCTGAAGAGCAAAGAGAAAAAAGAAAGGCAAAACGTTGTCTCTCATAATACATGTCTGCTCACTCCTCCCATATTATATAGTTATATATATATATATATATACTCCATCCATCATCGAATAACTCTCGGCTTCCACATAACCTTATACTTCGGTGCATTCCCCCCATTAACACTCGCGCGCAAACCACTCGTACCACCCTTACCGCTACTACTACCATTACCACGATCCTCCAAAACAATTCCGCTCTCCTCCAAAAACACCCTCGCAACCCCCCCATTCCCCGCCCCCATCGCAGACTCCGCCATATCCACCGGCGTCTCCCCGTTCCTATCCTGCACATCCAACCTGGCACCAGCCCGCAGCAGCAGCCGTATCACGTCGACCTGTGTGCGCCAGCAGGCGGCATGCAGCGGCGTCCCGCCCACACGGCCCCCCGGCGCATTGACGTCGCTGCCACGCGCGAGCAGGTGTTCGACTACGGGCGTCAGTGCGAAGGAGGTAGCGTAGTAGAGCGGCGTGCCGGTGCGTGGATACAGATTGTATGTCCGCCCCATGCGGTGCGGGCGGATGAAGAGGGCCTGCACCCAGGAGAGGAAGTTGGGGGTTGCGGGGTCTGCGAAGAGGGTTGTGGCTAGGGTGTGGAGGGCCGGGTTTTGTGATGCGTTGAGGTAGGGGCGGGTGTGGTCTGCCCAGTTATGTGAGATGTATTGGAGGAGAGGCCAGTTTGTGAGGCGGGAGGTCATTTCCTCGGGGGTTGCGCAGGGTCCGGTGCTAAAGGGGGAGAGCATTAGGTAGGTGAGGCAGAGCGTGGCGAGTTCGGGGAGGCATTGTGATTCTGGGAGGTGGAAGGTTGGTAGGTTGGTGGCGGCGCGGGGTGAGAGGAGATAGTCCCGTACGGAGTTATGGGCGAGGATGACATGCGGCCCGTCGATAGAGACAAGGGAGCCGCAGGCTTCCAGGATGTCTTCCGGGTCACGGAGTCTGTCTTCTGGGTCTAGAGTGGTGATATTGGGTCGAAGGACGGCGCCTTCTGCCAGTTCTGTGAGGGTGAGGGGACGGCTGGAGTAGGCGAGCCAGAGGAGAGCTTGTCGTGCGAGGGGGATGTCGGGTTCGGAGATGCGGCTGAGGATTCGCTCATAGGTCTCGTCGAGATCGCGGGGAAGACCGCGGAGGGCGAATTTGATGGAGCTATTGGTTCTGAGGCGGCTGAGTTCGTCGAGTTGACATTTCACCCAACGAAACCTGGAGCGCAGGATTCTCGTTAGAAAAAGAAAAAGCAGGGGAGTCATGTCTAGTTTGCAAGTTTGAAATTTTGCTATAGAGTATATATAGTTTTATTCTTGAATTGACATACATTCCGCTAGCGCCCTTGGTCAGTGTTTCCACTATGTGTTCCTGAACCGGCTGACTGAGTTTCTGTAGCTGTGGCCTAAGCTGCATGTTGGCACGGATATATTGATGGATATCTTCATCGGCATCCTTGCTCTGCGTAGAAATGCTCGACTGGTCCTTCAAGAGTCGGACAATGTCAACCTCCCTACGGCTGGAGACTAAAACTTTCACCGCTGTGGAGGCCTTGGAGGATAGGTCTCTGAGGATTTTGACTAGCGTTTCCCTCTCGTAGCATTCATCCAGGGCATCCACAGTAATTGTGACATTGGACACTAGAGGCAGGACTTCGCTCAGCAGGAGCTGCAATTCCTGGATACTTGGCGGTGCGGCCTTGCCATCCTTCCCAATGTGTCGTTCATATGAGTCCTCTACATGCGAGGGCATGGAAGTTAGAACCTGGCAGATTTGGAGGATGATGGCCCCGATAACGGATTCCGGGCGACAGCTCTCATGGTTCCGAAAGTCACAGTAATAGTAAGCAACGACTCTTTTCCTAGAGGCATTTGGTAGAAGACACTGGTTCAAGATCGTGCTCATCAATACTGTTTTGCCAGATCCTGGAATTCCATGAATCCATAAAAGACGCTGGTCTCCGGAAAGCCAGCACTGCAGCTGCTTACTGTTCAAAACCCAAGCTCCAGTCCCCGATGAGTGCTCTGCATAAGCGCGCTCATGCGTGGCCTCGTAGTCAATGCCGCAGAGCCACTGATTGACTTGTCTCCAGCGCAGCATAATTTCACGTTCCTTGCGTTCCTCTCTATCATCCTGCAGTGCCTGCTGGAGTTCATACAAGACAATCTGTGTTTGCTGGGACTCCAAGGTGGCTTCGAGCGCGAGCAGCAAGTTCAGCGAGCTCTTATGTCGGCCTAAGGTATCCAGAATCCTCGTAGTTTCCGCTTGTTTCAGCGGCCAGAGGAGTCTCTTCACGACCGCCATCTTCTTCCCCTTTGGGCCGGGATGTATGGATTGTAGAGTATCCTTCAGTTCCCCGAGGGTGACCTGGCATTCTCTCAGGCAAGTGGACAGCGCCTCCCGTTGGCTGGCTGCAAATCTATCCGCGTTGACCAGGCCCTGGATTGCCACGAAGATGCCGCTCAACGAGGTGGTTTCCTCAACCAGCTTGCGCAGGACTTCGGGAGCATCAGCAACAGCACAGCCGTAGATGTAACACGCGCCGATAAGATCCCCTGAGAGCACAATCAACTGTGCGATGCTTGCGGGATCCATTTTGCAGTAAGTAATAAATACTACCCCGCCTGAAACATTAAATCAAAGGCAACATGAAAGGGAATTTAACTGAACTAAGACACCAAGTAGGCGGCATCCTGAAGACTGTGAACAACATGGACAATAATAATATAGCAATCTTGATGCTACATACGGCAGTCTATAGTGACAAATGTGTCAAATGGCTTTTTTCAATGTTTTTTTCAGTGTAAAGGCTTAATTCCACATCATACTGATTTTATAATCACAGACCAATTATGAACTGCTATTTTTTCCATGAATCCCTGCAAGGCTGCAACTCTTCAACTTCAACCACCTACTATGCCACTCAACAAAGCAATTATAGAGCAAGCAATAACTCAATTGAATCAACAATTGATTTCTAAATATGCTGAGATTGCAAAGAAATTCAGAATCAATCATATTATCTTGATATAGTAATTCAAAAATCAACAGATCTTCAGAACAGAGTCAACATTAAAATTTTAACTTACTATTAAAATCTCATAAATACTGAAGAATAAAATCTTCTATTTTATATTGATCAGTTATTCAATCACAGTTTCCCTGTAATATCTCAAATACTGCACAATTTTGTATTTAAAATCATTAAAATGCAAGTAGAAATTAACTGAGTGTATCACTTTTCTAAGTAATATAAAGTAAAGATTAAGAATATCTGTCATGTCTCTGATCATGTCAAGACTCTAAGACAGCTTTACACAACTTATTACTTTCTTTCAGATAATAATCTCATTTATTTTACAGATATCTGAATCAGTTTTCAATCACTTTATAATATTACTCAGATATAATATAGAAAAATCTGATTAATAAATATAAAAACTCTGCTTTTATACAGAGTCAGCAAATTTCTTCTTATATATCAGTGAAATGCTGCTGCAGCACTACATCAGCTATAAAATGAAAAAAGAGTGACTGCTTATTATCTATATAAAATTGCTAGATACTCACTTCTTATCAAAAAAATCAGCAATTTATTTTTTATTTTTTCAATATATAAAAGTTACTGCTATTTTCATTAATTTTCTTAGTATATTAAGTATTTATAATATTTTTGCAATAACTCTGTAATTTATAAGCTATTTTTCTATATAATACTGCTATTTAACTACTGCTTCTGAGTTTTATACAATATTCTCAGACCACTCCACCACGAACTCGCTCAATTTTTCGAATAAGAACCCGCCGATAGATCCATTGAAAAGCCCTCAATCATATAAGCATTTTGACCCCATCGCTGACTGCATACCCCGTGTGGTGATGGAGTTATTCAGCCAAATGTGAACCAGATATTGTTTGAAACTTCTGTGTGGGATTATCCCTTGTTCATCCCTATCACACTCACAATCCCGGGTCAAGTTGTCATACAAATTGTAAGGTGAAGAGACCTAGTCATATACATCAATCTTCTTGATTTTGAAAGATTTCTGATCTGTAATTGTGAAGATATCTGAAGAGTAATCTCTGTGAAAACTCTGTCTATCTTTGATGTTTCAAAACATCAATGCCAAGCCTCACACATATACCGCTCTTCTCAATCTGGCCCATCTCCGGCAGAAAGATACAAAAAGATACCTCAGCAATTAGACTGGCCGGCGGGATCATGAATTTCACATTTAATCTCAATTAATCTGGTCTCTCTGTGATTCAAAGGTTGCTTGAGCCAGCGTACGATTACAGGCGTACGCCGGCTTCTTATATACTGTACACTAAATTAATTGGTGGCCGCTATGGCCCCTTTACTTTGTAAGCAAGTTCGGAAGCGGCTGTGTTATTATCCGACAGTCGTACATTCTTCTGAACCACATCCTTCCCCACCAGATTCAGTCACGCTCATGTGACCATGACATTCACCCTAGCTTCATGCGGATTAGCGCACCACTAGCATTTGTGATTGTGTGACCTATTCTCTGCGGGTTTCAAACCTGCACACCTTGGTTTCCCATGTCAAGACACTACTGAGTGACTGCATTAACTATTCAGTCACCGGGGCATTGTATCAGTGAAGCTCTTTATAGTAAATACTTAATCTGTGATAAATATTAATTATTACTTAACTTCTACTTTAGCCTGTTACTATGTACATAAGACTTTGATTTTATTTAAAATTCTTGTATATATATAGAGCTTCACTTCTAATTCAGTAATCTCAGCTTCTTTTCTTACTATTTTAAGTAAATTCTCTAGAAGATTCTGTATATCTTTCAGTTTAAATTAGACTGATTATATGATTATGTCTGAAATCAGAATCAGAATATTTAATAATCTTATTATTAATTTAACTGATTTCATTACACAGTTTTAACATTAGATAGTAGTTTCATACTATCTCAGTGAAACTTACTGTCTACTCTTATTACATTTTTTAAATGAGATTATGATTTTCACTTCTCAATTTAAATTATTTTTATTACTTTAAATGACTTTAAATCTTATTTAAATATTATCAAAAAGTGTTACTTTTTAAAAAATTAAAAATAGTCTAAAAAAAACCTTAAAATGTTCAAAAATAGTAACTTTATACTAAGAATGAGACTAAATGAGATTAAATGAGATCACTTTCTTATTTTTTCTAAGTTATAGTCTCATTTTGAGATCTGATATATAGTCACTTTATATGTTTTTTTAATGATTAGTCTCAGTGAAATTCACATCAAGAAATGTATGAGATTAGATTAAATGAGACTAAATATGAAATTTATAATCTCAGCAGCCAGTCTAGTTCAGATAGTAGAGAAGAGTATTATTTATATTAATTAAAGAAGATATTTATTTCAGAAGATTTTTATTAATTATATAGTATTTATTATTCTATAACTTCTGTTTTTATTATATAACTCTGATAATAATTACTTTCTCTTTTATTCTTCTAAGTAAAGAGAGAACTTCTTTGAACTAGATTTACTACTTTGTCTCAGTGACTGAATGATTAATGCAGTCATCTGATAGTATCTTAGCATGGAAAATCAAGACATATGAGTTTGAAACCTGCAGAGAATACATTAAATTCAGAACTCAAGCATCTTAGATTTTTAATAAATACAGAGATGTATAAATCACTTTAATAAATTGCTCTATGTTTCTGAGATGAGAAGTTATTATTGCATGTATTTAATTGTCACTTCTTTGTATTTTCTATGTTCTTGTTATCTTGATGTGATCTCAACTAGACTGACTGTGTGACCGTGTCTGAGATCAGAATCAAACTTTATAGTTATTATATTATCTAAAAGTATTACTTCTGATCATGATTTATATTCATTACATTGATCTCAAATCACATTATTTCAAATATTAAAGGTCTCAGATTCACTTTTCAAATAAAAATCTAGTTCTGAATAAAGAATATATTTAAATTCTTAGTCACATTTTCATTCTGATCTCATTATTAAGAATGATATTAAATAAGACTATGAAATCACTTCTCACTTATATAATATCATAACATAGTACTCATTTGTTGAAAATTCAATAAAGAGTGTTATTAAATATTATTACTTTTCTAAACACAGATTATAATTTATATAATTTTAATTATAAAAAAAATAAAAAATACAAAATAAAATAAAAAATAAAACAAAAACAAGAAAAAATCAGAATGAAAAAAAAAGAGAAAGAAAAAAAAAGAAAAGAAAAATAAAAAAATAAAAAATAAAAATAAAAAAAATTAAGATTGCAGAGCTACAGTACTCTTAAAATACTCACTTCTCAGAGTCTTTACAATATTCATCACTAACTGTGTATCTCTCACAGTGAGAGTAACACAGCTGTAATGAGTTATTATCTTAATATTATCTAATAAATAATCAGTATATATCTGTATAAATGTGAATATTTAGAAAATATATACTTAAAAAGTGTGGTTAGAGTAAACTCTGCTGTCACTTGAATGATATTAAGAGTAGAATACTGAAATTGATGATTTCTCTTATTAATTTCACAGATAAGATATATGAAGATAGTCTTGAGAAATATAAGATTCTCTGACTTTTAATAAAAACAGATCTCATAGAGAGACTCTATTTTCATAATATCAGAGACTGAGTGTTATTATTATTATTATTATTCTTTAATTATAGATGTATATAGTCAGAGACTATGACATCTATCTGAGAACTAAAAGTTCTCAGAGTTTTTTCTATATCTATAAAGTTAACTATTATACATTCATCAATTTCAGATATGCAAAATCAGAAAATTCCAGCTCAGAATATAAAAACTGTTTATAAATTGCAGTATTTTAACATCTTCTGATACTTTGAAATCATTTGACATGATAAAAGAAAAGAGAACACAGTCTTAAAGCTACAGAATAAGATCTCTGCAGTTTACATCTTAAGCTATATACATATTTTAACACTTTATATAATTGACTGCTGTCTCTGTTCTCTCAGACCTGCTTCAGAGATTATCATTTTCTCTAAAGAGCTGCTACTCAGCTAGCTTCTGTAACTAGCTTATTTATAAGTGAGATTCTCACTAAGAATAATATCAGAGCTACTCAATTCTAGTTAAGTCTCTAATCTTTCAGCTGTCAATCTCAGTATTTCAGTCTATTAATTGACTGTCATGATCTTACTTACACTAATTATCTATTAAGAATATCTAGGTCTTATCTTATCTAGATTCTTACTAGGCTCAGAGTGTTCTAATTAAATAGTTTTTAAATCTTGATTCTCTGAAAGTGAGTATCTAGAGTAAGAGAGATGAGATCTGATTAGTTAAGCTTAATAATGATTTACTATTCTACAGACACTCTAAATCTCAATTACTCTAGTACTGATCTAACTTAAAGCATCTGAAAGACTGTTAATTCTAAGATTAGTAAGAATTAGTGTCTGAGAATCTCTGAAATGAATATCTTAAACTTGATAATAATTTACTATAGTGTATCTGAGAGTCTCTGATACTGTTTTATAACTTAACAGTGAAAGCTGTGATTAAGATAACTCTCACAGAGTTCAAATCTGCTCTCTCTTGACATTTATTCCCCGGGGGAAAGGCTGCTAATTGAGGCTTCATGATAGCGTAGTTAATCACTACGCCACCGGGCCAGAGACTGAGTGTTATTAAAAAGTGTTATTTTCATATAATGTATATACACTTACTGTGATGATTCACTCTCTGTGTATATAGCTAAGAGTTGC